TTTTTTTTTGAGAGAGTTCAAAATGTTAAATCATGCCCACGCTCCTCCAAAAGCTAAAAAGTTTACAGGTACTTGCCTCAATTCACAAATCATATGACTTTGCCGTTTTGTCTGATGTAAAGCGAGAATGATGGAGCAACTCAAGCTAGTAGCCATCCTTTTGTCACTACTGCTACTGCACTAACTTCCTTTATGTGATTTTCCAATGCAGTTCTCAGAACTTTATCCTTGTTCTGTCTCTCTCTCTTAACTAACAACACACACAAATTAAAAAACCCAAAAAAAAATGTTGTTGAAACAAATAATTATGCATTACGTAGGATACTTGAAAATATAATTTTAGGAAGAAGTCTATGATCCCTTTAGAAAATTAATTTTTTAATGTATAATTCTCGGGATTGATAGTGATATAATTTTATATGATTAAAATTTTTACTATTTAAGGGTCAAAAACACTTACTTCATCACTCAATGATCATTTTAAAACTCGAAAGTATGATGTCCAAAGGGACTATAAATTTTTTTCTTATGTGATCTTTTCAAGAAGATTTGGGGTTATGGGGTAAAATCAAGGTAAAAGTTAAATTATATGCCTTTTTTGAAGAGGACAATGGGCCATCCGTAAATTCAGCGTGACCGAAGTGGGCAGGCGAGCCCCCACCCGCCATGGCATAGGTTCGTGTATCCATTGATACATATACATGTTAGGACAATATACATATAAATGATATATAGATACAAGTGCTGGGATGATTCATAATAGTGTCATACTTTTGCTTCTATTTTTTCTACTTTTGTAGTTTTTAGTGGAAAAAAAAAGGTTGTTTAATTTTCAACCAATATATATCCATCAGCTTCTCATAAATTTTGAAAGGACATTAAGTTAGTTTACAAACAGTTTGTTTGGATTGTAGTTTATTTACCAAAATATATTTGCTTACATCATCATTACAATTTTCAATACACCTTTTTATCTTTTCAATTACCTTTTTATCTCACATACATCACATCACAAAAAGTGTTACAGTAAAAATATCTATAATAATTCACAATCCAAACAAGTCTCTCTCATATTATCTCTTGCTATTGATCCATTTGGTGTTTTTTAGTTTCTACAGCAAATTTGATCAAATAATGACCTTGAAAGATATAGGCAAAAAGAAACTGAATTCTCCCACAAAAATCCAAAGAATGATATGGTATCACTGTAGCTCGGTAAAAGAAATAACAACAAAGGAAAAAATTTGTGCCCACGCCCCTACTCCCAACTCTTCCCCCGCCCCCTACCCCACAAACAAAACAAAAAAAAAAGATTTTTTGTTTGACTAATTAAGAGCTTGCAATTATGCATCATGCATGTGCTATAAATACGTGTCATTGGTTAGGCGAGCCTGACTTCATTTTGTACTTTATTGATTATTATAGCAAAAATTATGCTGCCTGTTATACATATAGATATTATCACGTGACAAGAGTGTTGAGGAAATTTTCGGGAATCATATGATTACGAAGTAACTGAGAAGGTTATAAATAAATACACCAGTCTTTGACCAACTACTGGTTTTTGGGGGCAGTTTATTTCCAGATCCATAGATTTCCTGAAGTTGATTAATTTGGACGAGGGTACGCCTTAGCTTAACGGGACAAATTATGGGCATCTCCCCCCCCCCCCCCCCGGGGAATCTCTATGTCTAACCGCCGTTCCAAGGTATGATAAATAATTTACCACAGACATTTTTGTGTTTAGACTGTCAAGTGTGTCTGGATTGGCATTAATTATTTGCAAAAAATAAATAATTTATTTGTATTATAAATACATTTTCAATCGCTTTTATTTTTTAATAATTTTTTATCTCATATATATTGTATAATAAAAAGTTTTACAGTAATTATTTGAAATAATATTTCAACTAATCTCCTACCTAAAAAAAAAGTTTTTTCTTTACAATTTTAAAATTTTTTTCTGATAGGTGAGAGTAGAGGTGTCAAAATAGGTGACTTGGGCGGGTTTGAGTTGGATAAAATGGATAATGGGTATAAGTGAGTCAACCCATTTATACCCATTTAATTAGATGGGTATAAATGGGTAAGTTAAAAAATGAATTGGATAACCCAATTACCCATTTATAACTCATTTATTTTAATTTTTTGTAAATTCATTTAAATTCATTTTTGCAAACTAAGTTATCAATTTATACCGCTCTTTATACCCATCATTAGTTTTAAATATTTACTTATAATGTTCAATAAACCTAATTACCAATGTTTTTTCATTTATACTATATTTCACAAAATTACATATTATTTAATAATTGAATAATAAGAATATAAAAATTTGAACTAAGTACTATAAAAGTTAATATAAAAATTCAATCCAAAAATTTTTAACCCCTAACTTTTTTTCCATATATAAATTTAAAATTTCATTTTAGAAAGATAAGAAAAGAGGCTCAAATTTATCATAAATTGATAATGCCGAAAAATGGGCAAGTTAATAAACTAAGAGAAAACAAAATAATAAAATAAAATCAACAAATAATAATAATAATGAAACAAAAGTAGTTAACATCATGACAAAATGAAAAATTTGAAAAAAAAAATGGGTTGGGGGAAAAGAAGAGATTTAGGGGAAGAGAATTTTAAATGGGTTAATTGGGTTTGATGGGTTACCCAATAATACCCATTTATTAAATGGATATTATTGGGTAACCCATTTATACCCATATACAAAAATTTAAGATATCAATACCTATCTATTCATGGGCGGGTATGGATAAATTTATTTAAGTGGGTTGATTTGCCACCTCTAGGTAAGAGGTAGGATTTAATGAGCGGAGAGGGGGAAAAGAGAATCAATCCAATATCTCTAAATCTTGGAGTTTTAACATCTTAATTTTGATCACTAGATCAAAATCTCCTTCATAAAAATATAAAAAATAAGTTAATGGAGTCAAAATTTTAGATATTGCATACTTAACCGCACGCAAATAAATGACTTTAGCATACTTAACCGCACGCAAATAAATGACTTTATTACACAAGTAGTCGACTATTCGTGTTGAAATGTGACTGGTTTTTCATGATTTTGTTTCGTCACATGGCTTTGTAGGAGAGCTGGAAACACCATACTACCCGGAAATCGGGTTTCTTTTCCTCTTTTGTTTGGTTGTGTAATTGTGATTATTACGATGAACGGGCTGAACTTTGACTAATTTTTCCTTGACGCAGACAATTCTTAGCAGAACCCTTTGCTATGCATCCCAACAAACATATAAGATATACATACTAGTATATGTTTCCCATTTTTGAAGAAAAAAAGGTCATTCATTTAATTTAAGTTAATATGAACTAATAACTACAATACCGTTGGATTACGTTTTGAAATTATATTCAGGTGTTGAATCAATAGGAAGAAAAAAAAAGTAAAAGGATGTTTTCTTTGTACACAAAAATAAAGAAAAAGAACACCGTCTCTAGAGACTAGTAGACATCTCATCAGAGCGATTGAAGTCGATTTTTGAGGTTTACTCGGAATTTAGGTTTGTAAAATCATAAAAATTTTATGAAAGACTTTGACAAAAAAAAAAAAAAAAAATTGAAGCCACGAATGTCATCGGTAGAGCGGAGACTATAATCCGCGTAGTTCTGCAGTATCAAAAGGTTAGAAAATAGTGAGTAACAGCACATGCATACCGTCATCTTGGCATAGTACGGCATCAAATATATATATATGATTAAGCCTTCTTTCTTAGGCGGAGCGGAGCCACATATGCATTTGAAAATTGTATAGTAGACTTGTAATTTTGCAGTACTTTCATTTGTACGCTAGACACGTTAGACAAATTCTGCGCAACTTGCCCTTCCCTTTCAGATTCCTTTTGAATTTTTTTTTTTAGGTTCCTTTCTTTGATTTATGGAATGTTGTCCTCTACGCAGGAACGCTTACATGGAGATAACAGATTCAATCTCAAACACAAACATGATCTTCATTTCACATTTAGAGCAACGTAATAATCTAAATATACAGGGCATACAATAAATAAGCCCAATTGGAGATCAACTCTTTATTATTACAAATCTAGGAGTTGAGGATACTTGAGATTTTCCATCACCTTGAAAGTCATAGCTGAATGCAATGATGTGATAACAGTGGATTTAAGTAGAAGATAAAGAAAATTCATTTGTAACTCAGGATTGTAGAAAACTTCTGGAATATATTCATGATACCTGCTACCTACTTTGTAAAAAAGGACAATATGAAGTGCCAAGGGAAGGGACATAGCATTTGAATCTAGGCAAAATGTTGCGCAAACACAGGTCCGCGGCACACTTTTGAGAACATCCTGCATTATAAGTAGCCTCGTTAACCAGTTGCCTTGCTAAGTTGTAAATAAGGCCCCTAATTAATTGTTCAAAAACAACTCTGTGCCCTTTTTTATTAGGTTAGCTCAATGGACATTAATTTGCTTAAAGTACGGGAGATTTTGCATGTACTTCATCAAATCCTCTTCAATCATCACATACGATATTTTGTTGCAAGCTTGAAATATCCTCGGTGCCCGAAGAATGTGTAAAAAAAAAAAAAAAAAATCATGGAAACCGTAAAATTTTCTTGCCGAAAAAATAGCAATTCAAGCAATGCTTTAATTTCACCTTTCGTCTCCTTGTTCTCAATCTCATATCTTAATTAGATCACACATTTCAATAGTAGTCTTCTCCGAACAAAAATTGACTCTAAGACTGAACGCTTAAAAGATTCATGTCAATTTCAGAATATATTTACTGCCAAAATTTTATCAAGACTATTTAGTCAATCAATTCTCATTTGACTTCTTCTTTCATAGATGTATTTTTGGTCCAGATATTTTGAGATATGCGCAAACCGAAAAAAAAAGAAAAAAAAGAATCTCAAAATATAAAAATTAAGAATAAGGAAAATAGCAGACACAAATTGTATGTCACCTCACCTATTTATATCCGCAGACAGGAGGCAGACAACCAGCAAACACGAAAAACCTAACCCTCTCAACATCAAATTCTCATTCTCTCCATCGCAGGCGTCATCAACCCTACTCCGACCAATCTCCGGCGTCCGACCTTTAAATCATCAAAATGAATAGCAAAGAATGAGGAGCAATCGGGGACGATCATCATGTCAGTCTCCTACTCAGACTGCTTTTCCGACCTACTCTGCGGCGAGGACTCCAGCACCATATTCTCCGGCGATGACCTGCCGGAATGCTCGTCGGAGATTGAGTCTCAGCATCCCCCGGAGGACTTGGAGGAGTCGATCATCGGACTCATTGAACACGAGAAACAATACGTTCCGGGCATCGATTATCTAGAAAGCTTTCAATCACAATCCCTCGACGCCTCCGCTAGAGCAGATTCCATTGCATGGATTCTCAAGGTATACATAAACATAGTACTAACATTTTCACGTTCATATATGGGAGGCCATGTACGATGAAAATATATACTAGGAGAAATGATATTTAGCTATTTTTTTACAAGCATAATAGCAGCAGATTTCATCTTTATTTGTCTCTTAAAATGCATCAAGTGAAAGGTGGATCAATGTGTGTTAATTAGATCAGTGATTTACTGCAAAAAAAAACAAAAAGGATTCATTTTTAGTTGGTTATGAAGTTGGCGGGAATAGAAGGGGGCGACGCGGGAAAAAATGGCTGGGATTGGCGGTGGCGCCAATAATGGATTCCTATACTTGGCGGAGTTTTCGCTTCCGGAGTTTTGATTTGATTGACGTATGAATTTGTTTTATCCGATGTCTTGATGCAGGTACAACGTTATTATGGTTTTCAGCCATTGACGGCGTATCTCTCCGTCAACTACTTTGATCGAGTTCTTTATTCACGCCGCTTGCCGGTAACAGTCATGCTCCCGTAGAAAACAGTCATCATTTACTTCTGAATGAAAATTATTTCTTCTTAGTAGTATATATTATTTTTTTTTTTATTCTGGGAAGCATTACTACCTGCTTAGGAATATTAGTTTATAGTATTAATAAAAATTTTTGTCGACTTTTCAAACATGATGAAAAGGACTTTACTACAAGCATCGAGTCGAGTTAACTGCAAAAGTTTGTGTACTTATGAGACAGTAAAGTAAATTCCATTATAAACATTTTATTGTTGTATATTCTGTCCTACTTTGTCTTATTTTCGTAGTAATAAAAAGGTACTAATAATACCGAGTCACGTACTTTACTTTTCCCTCTACCGATTGTAAAGTACAAACTATTGTCGTCATTGTTTTGGTGCTTTCGTTGTTAATCTCCGTCTACTTGGGGGTACATACCTAGGGGAGGTACAGCTGTCTTCTACAGTTACGTCAAATTAATCATCGGTATACAGTTCCAACTGTATGTATGGTCGTAGGATGTTTGGACGTCGTATATTCAGATCTCCTTTTGATTTCACGGTATTTATTATTATCAATACAAATATCCTATTTTACCTCAGGGAACAATACATAATTTACTCTCGACTTTAATGTAAACATGACACACTCGTGCATCTGTTTTTCCTTTTTTTTTTTTTTTTTTTTTTTTATGTCATTTCTAAGAATTTGGTGGAAAAATAATCATTATTAGATAACTTACGTGGTTTCAACTCAAATGATAGGTAGAAGGTACTTAATACCTAATTCCCCAGCATTGTTTATCTATTACGTGTGTGTGTGTTGATAATGCAAGAAAGTGAGTGTGTGAAAATAAAATGCAAGCAAATCAGTGTGTATAAATAAAATGTAATTTTTTATCATCCAAACACACTCGATATCATCATCTGCTCCTAAATTCTAAAGTTCATTTAAACGAAGGTTCTTTTGTCTTTTCTAACTAGGAATATCCGTACTAATCTCTAAGCAATATCTTACTATATATTTTATCAAAATTCCTTTTGCTTTATCGTCCAATACTTTTTATGTAATTTCATACTAATATATCTTTTTTCTCCTTTTTGTTTTTTTTGGGGGGGGGGGGCACGAATTCAGCAAACAAAAGGGTGGCCACTACAATTATTGTCTGTTGCTTGCTTGTCATTAGCTGCAAAGATGGAGGAACCTCTTGTTCCGCCTCTTTTAGATCTTCAGGTAATCCGGTTAAAACCCCATTATAGAGTTTATAATCATCCATTTTTTCCCCTGCAAAACCATTCAGATTAATCATTGCTTGTTTAATGCATAGGTTGAAGGAGCAAAATACATATTTGAACCGAGGACAATCGGTAGAATGGAGTTTCTTGTGCTGAATACATTGGATTGGAGGCTTCGATCTATCACGCCATTTAGCTTTCTGAGCTTCTTCGCTCATAAAGTCGATCCAACGGGGACCTATGCTGGTTTCCTTATTTCGAGGGCCAACGATATTATTCTGTCCCACATACAAGGTAGTACATGTGTACATCCCGCTTTCATCTGGCGTGCAACACGCTTTCTTATGTGAGCATGCATGCGTCTATCTATGCTTGCATGTGGAATTGTAGATAGATGGATACACGTAAACATGATTTAAAAAAAAAAAAAATGAAATTGGTTTAATTCGTCCTCTTTGCATAATCACCATGTCAGATGCTAGCTTTCTGGAGTACCGGCCATCATGCATTGCTGCTGTAGCGATCCTTAGTGCAGCCAGAGACCTCCCAATTTTCTCTTTTCTTAGTCCTGAATACGCTGAATCATGGTGTGATGGACTCCACAGGGTAAGGAATATATATATATATAATTATAATTATTATGCGTAATACTTTTGAGTTATGGTGCAAATCGTTGTAGCATTCAACCAATAGGTCGTCTTGACAAATTGGATTCGATTCAATTTTGTCAAATCATTTAACTAAGCTGCACTTGATGCGGAGGAACAATGATTTGATAAAATTTAATTGGAATCAACCTTTTCCAAATGATTTAACACAATGTTGACGTTTTCTCGATAGCCATAGCTCTAGCTGGCGTTTTTGGACCATTTTGATCAAAAGGAAATGTTTTTTGTCAACTTGGGTTTGGGATCCACTTTTTGCAGGAGAAAATAATCAGCTGCTACGGCGTAGTGCAGCAAATAATTATCGATAATAGGCCAAGGAAGAGCCCGAAATTTTTACCCCAGCTTCGAGTCATGTCTCGGATGAGTCTAGCATCCACCGAATCATCATCATCGTCATCAACATCATCAAACTCATCTTCTTCATCATCATCATTATCATCCTGTAAAAGGCGAAGATTAGAAAATTACTTATGGACAGATGATGACAAAGGAAGCTCCGAGTGAGAGGGGAATCTGGTGGTCCAACTCGTCTAGAAGCCTCGATGTTTTTTGGAGGGTTTTGAGAAAACAAGAATTGACAAGTATGATGTAGATTAATGGTAGTATACATGTATGTATGAGTGCTTGGAGATTTATTATTTTTTTTTTTGGGGGTGAGCCGGGGGGGGGGGGCGGTGGGCAGGTGCAGTCATTAATGGCTTTGCAGATTCCCAAGGGAAAGGGATTTTGGTACATAGTATTATTATTATCCAGGAGTGAGTGAGACGGGGGATCACATTCATTGTTTAATAGTAGCAGTGGAGTCATGGGAGTGATGGAGTGCGGAGTGAATGGCTATTGAATTCAAAGGCTGCATTGATTAGTGAATGAAAGGGTGGAGATGGTGGGGCCTTTTGCACAGGACCGGTGAAAAGAAGGGGCAGAAAAAATCAATGGAGTTGGCTAATTTATGGGATTGAACTTTGAAGTTTGAGCTCTAGATGTGTTACAAGTCAAGCTCCTCACCTAGGCCCTCATCATTTTGCTAATTTTCTCCTCCAACTTCTACCCAATACCCCCACATGCTTGCAGCAATGACAGGGAGACGGGCGAACACGCATTGGGAGGGGGGATAAATAAATCTGGTGGCTCAGCTGTACATGGGACGGGACTGCTTTCTCTTTGAGTTCTTGAGAGTGATGTGTACAGACGCTCGTAGTTGTTAACTATGGCGGGCTCTACACGTGTGCATGTGTGATTTTTTGGCGGGAAATTGCCTTTTTTTTTTCTTTTCAAGTCCTAACCATAGACTGGACATTTCTTTTTGTGTGCCCTTGACACGTGTGATGGATACACGTGTCTATTCTTTTTCACTTTAAACTTTTTTTTTTTTCTTTTTGGGGTTGTTTGATTGAAGGGATGAAATTAAACTTAAAAAGTCCCTTCTTCTTGATGGCCTAAATTTGGGCCAATTATAGACAAAAAAAAAAAAAGGGTCTTTGGGGCCTTTTTTTTTTTTTTTTTTCAGAGCGTGGTGCTGCTGTATTTGGATTCTTGAATCAAGCATAATAATAATGAAAGTAGTAGTACTAATTTTGTAGCAGTAATTTTCTCCTCTTTTAAGTACTTTCTTCATTCATAGTATCTGATAGATATCTCGTCCTCTGTCACTTGACACACACACACTCACATGCTTGATTTGCCATGCACGTGAATGACAATGAAGACTTTGTAGCTTTGCCATTTGTTTTATTGCTACTACCATCATCAATCAGCCGAGAGAACTTTTTTAAGTGGCAACTATGGAATTTTATGAAGCACAGCTATTATTATTTTTACTCAATTAGAGGCTCAACGCAGCGCTACCCGCACAACATAACATAACATAACATACCCATACCATACGCTGGTTGGTCCCTCGGAGCAATAAAGAGAGATCATCGATGAGTACGACTCCTTAACTGAAACCCGTGCCCTTCTCGTGACTGACCCATCTTCTGTTTCTTTCATCTCCCTCAGATTTCAGACAAAGCTTCTCAACTGTTCTTCTTCATCTAACCTTCTATAATTCATCAGTCTTTGATATATGCCTTTTTCTCCAGTATGGGACCATGGTGGTGGGATGGGAGGGCTTCCGCGTTTTCAAGTGACTCATCATCAGTTGTACAATAATGCATATTAATACATGGGAAATACCGCACTATATACGGTAAGTCCTAAATTATCTCTCTTGCAATTGGACCACCACATCAAAATATATTCAGCAAGTTGTTGCCGATTGGTCATCCCCTGTAAAATAAAAGTTCGATTCGATGGTGGCTAATCTTACAGCTCCATCCATTGGTGGTCCGGATATATCCGTAATTTGCGGGTTAACTTTGAGCCTCTTATATCCCGTCCCAACCTCTTATATGCTCTTATATCCTTCTCCCCTCCGTTGGGATAGAGTATTATTTGGAATAATTACTGTAGCATTTTTTTATGATGTGATGCATAGAAAATAAAAAAGATAATTGGGAATATAAAAAAGTGGATTGGAAAATGTGTTTATGATGCAAGCGAAATATTATTTGAGATATTTGTGGTATCCAAACACAAATTTACGTACAGATATGCTTTACTACTAAGACCTATATAAGACTTGAGGGAGAAGGATGAATTGGATAGTACGGGAGGGTTTAGCTTGTCGCAGTCCACAATTAGTCGCACGAGCTGGGATTTTTTTTTTATTTCTGTTTTAATTGTGAGAAATTAATTCCTAGTCATTTTGAAGTTTATATATATATATATATATATTTTTCAAAAAAAAAAAAAAACTGTGTCATATATTTATTATATAGAGTAGACTGGATTCTCTATGGGAAGTAGAGCCAGCGGCTTCAAGTCAAGATAGATGGGAACACTTGCTGTTAATGTCTGTTCAGAAAATGGACCACCAGACCGATAAGAATTCAGAATAGTTGGGACATTTAGGTAATCGACGGATTCTGATGAATACAAAAATCTGCTCACTGAAAATTCATCACTTTGTGGAGGGCCTCCCCCTAGGTTTGTTTCAGACAATTTGGTTGATAATTGTGGCTCCTAAAAGTAAACTATTCCCTTGTTTATCACTTTGCTAGACGTGGCATCTTCGGCTTGGACCTGGTTGCTGCAAATTTGCTGATTAGCCATTGCAGCACCATCTCATTCGCAATTCACAAGTCATCATCTGATCTGGTTGGTAGAAGAGCAAGTGCTGATTAGGATCAATTAAATTAGGGATCGGATCATCGTCTGTAATGTCACGCTGGATAGCATACCACAAAAAAGCTATATATTCTACAAATTGTACATGGACTTGTTAGGCAATCAAACAGCCCACGATAGCTGCACTACTATATGTTAAGTATTGAGGCAGCCCAAAAAAAACGACTTAAATCAGACAAAACCACTTGAGATTTATTTAATGAAAATCTTCTGATTGATCATTTGCTTCACTCAGTGTCTTGTAAAATACTCTCCCAATCAAATGCAGAGGATGGCCGGCAACAGTTGCATGAATTAAATGTGGATGCTTGGGAGAGCTGTAGGGTAATTTGCTTATTACTCTCTCTCTCTCTCTCTCTCTTTTTTTTTTTTAATTAGGAAAAAAAAAAAAGAAAAGAAAAGAAAACAAATGTGACCCAAATTCTTCTTGCCCAAAAGGTAAAACAAAAGATAACAAGGCTAGTTTCAATAATGTCCCAAATTTCTTATCATTCCTCCTTAGGGATGGCAACGGGGCGGGGTTGGGGCGGGGGACCCCTCCCCCGTCCCCCGCCCCGTTGCCTATTAGTTCCCCCCGTCCCCCGCCCCTGCGCCCCGCCCCGCCTTCCCCCGCTTCCCCCGCGGGTGCCCCCGCGGGGTTAATAAAATTTTATTATATAATTTTATTATAATTAAATTTTAATAAATAATCAAGTACTAAAATATCAACACATCACCAAATTATTATTCATTGTAATTTTACAATTGAAACTCATAAAAACAATCAAACAGAAGTTATTTGAATACAATCCAATATGATGAAATAAATATAACTAAAATAGTCAAATTTTCACTTTTAGTACAAATGCAATCACTAATTCATCATTGTGTTTGTGCTTTTTTTTGAGAAAAAAGTGTTATTCTATTAAGTGTAATTAGAAATTTAGTATAAATGTATTAGTAAATTTAGTATAACTAATTAATAAATTCTATTAGTAGACATGTATAATTATTCATATAATTGATAATATCAATTATATTACATAAACTAATATACATTATATAATACATCTAACTAATAATATCATTATCATAAGTTTATAACTAATTAACTTACATATAATATATAGTCATTTTTATATATATTTATATATATACATTTTTTTTTGTTTTGCGGGTGGCGGGGCGGGGGATGGGGCGGGGGTATACTCCCCCGCCCCCCGCCCCGTTTCTAAGCGGGGGGAAAAAATTCCCCCCCGCCCCCGCCCCACCCCCCGCCCCAACCCCCGCCCCGTGAGCGGGCACCCGCCCCCATTGCCATCCCTATTCCTCCTCAGCCAAGATGCTGGCTAAGGGAGAATCCTAAGTAGTCTATGAAAACAAAAATACTTTTCTATCCCTATGGGAACATTGTAGGGTATTGAAGGACGTAGAAGGAGCTCATTGGCGATTCACCAACTCTTTTTGCAGGTGATTTCAACTTTTCGTGGCCATGACAATAACAGACAGGACCCTGGGATTTCAGCTTTTGAACCCTAGTTTTGGTTGTAAAATACTAAAACCATGCTCGTGGGGTTCGTCTAAAAGGCAATATAGATAGGTCCGTGGAGTTAAAAGCTTCAAAAGTTGGAATGATTCTGAGTTTGCTGATGCAGCTTAGATTTTATGCTGAATGCGAGACAGCAACACTCTCAATTTCCCGGACAACCCCCAAGTGTCCCCATTTCCAGCGCCAAAATTTGGCTAACATGCCACAAAAGCAAAGAATGCGGATTCCTATATATTTTTTTCAACAAGACAAATTTTAGTTTTCTTTCTAAGGATGCAATATGCTTAGTTCTATTTATTTTCGCACAATATATAGACAGTTAAGTAAAACTACGCCACACCTATTGCTGATGGTCTGAAGAAGATTGCATTATTGATCGTCAAAAGCAAGAGAAGACAGAGATATTTTTGAGATGGGTTTAGGAGATTGCTGTAACACAAGCATCAAAATGCCCAAACTTTTCTAGCTATTTTGCACAGTCTTGCATTTACTTGATAAAAGTCATCACGTAGCTTTGGTTTGGTCAATTTTTAAGGCAAATAAACAAGGGAGAATTGAAAAGCTGCCTTTGGCAACTCGCATTTTTCTCGTTGGATGCTTTGTTTGCATCAAAAGAAGCTGAAAGGAGGAAATTGAAAGGAAGGGGGCTCCCTCGAGGGAGCGTGGTTGCAGTTTTTGTTCTTTATTGCTTTCTCATAGTGCCTGGACCTCCATTTCAAAGAGTGGAGACAAAAGAGTCACCTATCTAATGATCAACCAACCTATATCCGCCTCACTAATTAGAGTCTTTTATGCTCTACAATGCATCTTGTCATAGTCAGAAAAGGAAATCACAAACCCTTTTCTGCCAGATTATTTTTTGAAAGTAGGCAGCTTTGATCGAGAATATGACATAATTTTCTATATCTTTGCTTGTTCATGGGGGCTAAGCAGACCGATAATGATTGGTTAAATCCAAGGAAAATGATAAAGCTAGTATTACCAGTTCTTCAGTTGGACCTATGGAAAGAATTGAAAGATGATGCGCTGTTCAGCCGAAAGCTAATATGAACAGTGGCATCACGCAAATTCAATGAACATTTTCTAGGCTTGCCTAATTGTGGCCGGAAATAGTGACATTGCTACGTAGTTAATCAGGATTCCTCAAATTGAGTTTGAAAATTTGTCGTGTAAATCCACCGCATTCCCATCTAGAGTCACATTTTCCTTTCCCTTCAAGCAATATCACTACAACAAGTTAACGAGGATCCTCTGAGAAAAAAGGGAGTCAAACTCTGAAATCTTGATGGTAGGACTCGTTAACTTGGTTATGATAATGTTGGTGAAGTCTCGTAGGTCACAATATGTCGCAAAACATGCTGCAATTTACCATCGCTACACATCCCGAAAAAAAAAGAAGACTCCTTGCCTTCCTCTTTTGATTAAGAAAACAAAAAAGTAAAAAAATTTTTTTTTTTAAAAAAATCAAGATAAGAAAGAAAGGTCTAAAAATGGCTGAAAGGCCTTTACAGAAATCCATTTTAGTGCAAGCCACATCAAAATCCCACCATAAAGCAAGAAAGAAAAGTTTGATGGAGAAATTGTTGGAACTTAATTAACTTGCAATGTCGTGGTCTAGCATATATACTATTCCAGCTATAGCAATTAGACAAAGTTTAAAGAAGAATGTGGAAGAAGGATTATCAGTTTGCATGATTGAAACTCGTGTTAAAGAGTATGACCAAATACTTTTACAACGTGATTTTATCACTTGTCCTTAGTCTATAACAAAGCAAGACGGAAAGAGGATTATTTGTCAAAATTTATTTGCTTACATCATCGTTACAATTTTCAACACACCTTTTTATCTTTCCAATTACCTTTTTATCTCACACACATCACATCATAAAAAGTGTTACAGTAAAAATATCTCAAATAATTTACAATCCAAACACAAAGTGCTACGGTATTAGCGCGTGATTAATATTACTAGTACTACACGAATGCCTCCCTAATTGCTTTTTGCAGTGGCCAATGTTGATTAGGACTAGAAAAAACCTAACCTTTTCACATTACTTTACGAGCAAATTATCCAGGAACATAATCCTCTTCTTGTTCCCTTAGATTTTAATTGTTCTCTCAACTTTCTTGATTCATACACGTACTGATTGTCTGGGCTCCTGTTTTGCTTTTCAATGCACGCAACTAATTTTCTTATTCACGAAAGATGTGTAAATGTGTACTTGGTCGCGCTGGAAATTCAAAAAATGGCGACATCTTGCATTTTCTAAGAAGCGTCCCAACTTCAAGGGAAATCATGCAGTTCTATATATTATTGAGACTGCAAATCCTGAGCCTAAAAGATTAAATTACCTTGTGCACTTTATCTGAAGCACGAAGTTTCGCGCTTGTTATTTAGCACCTTAGGAACTTGTCTTCTTCGATGTCAACAGCAACATTTCGCAGGAAATGTGGGCTAGCAATAGCGCCTCTTCTCACTGTTTTATACTATTTGATAACATTAGAAGGATTGTCTGAGGTATTCAATTAGGATTTGCCTAACATGTAAGACTGGAATCTAATGGTTGTGGAACTTAATCATTAATTTGCACATTGGAGACTATACTTAATGCCAATGCACAACTTTTACAATAAGAATGTAACATGACCATCGGTTTTTTTTCTTTTCTTTTTTTTTTTTTTTCTCTCCCTCCTCCAGTCTTAAGGGTCTTAGATTAGTGGTGGAGACGTTGATCAACTATGGTATGCCCCTATGGGAATATAAATTACACCTTCAAACTTGCAACACTATATATAATTGTGAAGTGATTTAGCACCTCTCCCGACTTAGTTAAGCCTTTTAAACTCTGTGGGCTGGTCTGATTCTCGTGCAGTCTCAAGGCACCCTTCCTATCGAGAAATCCTAAAATAACCAAGTCTCTTCCTTCTTCGTGTTGTTGTGACATGCTTGCGAAAACAAATTCGAATCTACATTGGGAGTAACACTTGAGTGTGTTTGGATAGGGGATTATTTGAAATAATTACTGCAATATTTTTGATGATATAATGTATGCGAGATTAAAAGATTATTAAAAAGATAAAAAGAACTAATTAAAAATTATAATTATGATGCAAGCAAAATAATATTTGGATGAAAAAATTTTATATACCGGATGTGAAACCTTTTCTTGCATAAGACTTAGTGGCAGCTCCTCACCATAGTTTTGTAGTGACTTAGCTTTGGGCTTCGGCCTCCGTTTGACCCAAAAGAAATAAATTTCTTGTCTTTGGTTTTGCTGCCTTTTATTTTATTTGAGGTCTATGAGTTGTAATTAATTCAACATTTCTCCACTCTATCTCCTGTAAAATTCGACATACCTTTCCCACTTTTTTTGTTGTTGTTGATTTTGCATTGCTGGGTTGTCCAACCAAAGAGAAAGACGAGAAAAGTTTGAAACCTCACTTATTTGAAAAAAAAAAAAAAAAAAAAAATCCCGTAGGAGAACACATGTTGGACCCCTTTTCCTTCTTGTGAGGTTTTAAAAAGTCTGCCTTGAATTGCAATAGCAACACGTTAGCCCAATTTTTCTAGCAAGCCCAACAAAACCAAATGACCCATTCTGGGTGGACTTCCGATTTGTTTGTTCCAAGACCCAAAAGGACAGGGCTTCAGGTTTCACGGCATAGTCCTCTCCGAGCCTCCTTATCCTACGCAGCCCCGGCAATCACCCGCCAATTCCACCACCTGAAACGATGGCTCAAACAACCACCATTTTATCCCCAACCGCCACACCCAAGCCAATTCCCGCCAAACACACAGTCCGGAGCAACCTTATCCTGCGCACCCTCTGCACTATCCCACGCACTCATCCCCTTCTATTTTGTGCAAATGCCATCTCAGCAACGCCTTTGCGAGCAAACCCACCTCAGAAATACATCTACCCTGACCCCAACCCAGAATTTGCTAGAGCTGCAAGTCCCATCTTTTATTTTTTGTTTTGTTTTTCCTGGTTGAAACATGAAATTTTGACAACTCCTATGTCTCTTCTGTTTTTCTTAAATCAAAAGTTTTACTTTACGCGTGCTTAAAAAATTGAAACTTTTAACTCAACATATATTTGGTCTAAATTTTGACATGTTTGTGGGAAATTAGGAGACGAAAAAGTTCAGAGAGGAGCTGGTGAAGAAGCTATCAAAAGAAAAGGAGACTTATGGGGATGAGCTTGATGCTGTGGTAAATGTCTGCACAGATGTAAGTAGCTTTTCTAGAAGATCCTTTCTTGTTTTTATTTTTTTTATTTTTTATGATAGTTTAATTTCTGTTGATTGAATTTTTGAAAAGTATTTGACACTTCATTGCACAATTCAATGAAAAATACTATCAAATAACATAAGGATCAAAGACCGCTGTGTAGTTAAAAAAATATAGCATGGAATTGCCTTCTAGAATAAGAAAATAAAATGAGATAAACGTCAATCATGATACGGTCCTGGAGAGATTTGATTGGATCAATTGGAGAGTAGAATTGATTGTGCAGTAATTGAATGAGAAGTTTTATCTTTTTCACTCAGACCAACTATGTGACATTTAAAGGATATACTGGCAAATTGAACGAACACGAGACTTTTGGCTCAACAGCTTGAATAAAACTTGCGTTATCACGTTGATGTCTTTTGATAGTAAGTAACATATACCATACTTCCTTTTTTTTTCCCGTAACGATAGCATTAATATAATCTATTCTAATAGGGGGCTAATCGACGGAAAACCCAAGTTTTGGAGATGACCAACAGCCCAAGAGGCTGTTAGCACGCACATATACCATACCAAAGATATGTAAATAGAAAAACATGTTTTGCCTTTCCTTCTTCATGGATATAAGTTGCTACTCTTTATCGTAAAGCATTTTTCCCTCAACTTCAGTGTTGATGCCAATGTGAAGCTTTTGTCTTTTGGTTCTCACGTTTGGTTAGCGTTCTCAATCTAAGGGTGCTAGAGAGGGAACTGATTTAGTAGTTGGAGTTAATTAATTAGGACATAACTCAATAGACGCAATCTTCTTGTCAGAAAACGCAGCCTTACCTTCATGAAATTTGAAGGCTGATGATGGTTTGATACCTCTGCAATCTGCATCATGTATCGGTATAGCTACCATTTATTCTTTCATTACTCTTTTAGCTGTAGATCTGAAGTACATTAATTTTGAGCTGCTACTTCCTTCTTCATGTACTTAAACTGAGAGTATTTTCCTCTTTGATTTTTTTTTTCCCCACTCGCAAGCGGGACATACTAAATTTTTGAGAAATTGTGGCCTTGAATCATTGTAATTAGTAGTCATTACTTCTTGTACCTCATTAAGTTTCGATGATAAGACAAGAGCCAGCCGACATCAATGGAGCTACGGAGGCAGCAGTCCCCTGTTTTTCATTCGTTCCATCATATCATGATACTTGACCTGGTTAATTAATTGCACAAAACCCATGACGAAACACAGTCTACAAAACCCGTTACCGACCGACGGTGGAAGGGACATATGACGAAATCTTTCAATCAGGCCTTCTCTTACTTAATTACTCAAGGAATGACAACAATTAAGGAATGCATTGAGAATTGCTTTGGCTTCACAATGGATAAGAAGAAAACTTGCAAGAACTCCCAGCTTTTGAATGGAGTGGTACTACTGACTTGGCATTTTATTCTACGCATAGATGGTATCTGATCTTTCATTGCTTATTACTATGTTTCGAGGGGAATGCTACCGCTATCACGGTCGGCTTCAAAAGGTGGTGCCGTAGGGTCTCGCTGGGGCCATAATAATATATGATGGAAGCTTTCCCTTGTAGCACTAGCGCTGTCATACAGACGTGCAAATCACTACCTGCATAAATCTTTTAACTTTTCTGGGAAAAGAGACAACTGGGGAATCTGAAATTCAGTAGTATTTTTGGATTTCAGTTCCTGTGAGTGCATTTTTTTTTTTTTTTTTTGTATCATTTTAATGGATTGCGTAGTGTGAGGAAAGGCAAGGGCTGCTTTTTGGTTTCATCCTTCCCCTTCCCGGGAGAGTAGCCATATTTCATCATGTTTGTCTTCTTATCCTTTGCGCTCTGCGATATTGGAAGCTGCTGCTTGTCCTCTTCTTGCACAGACTTATCTTCGAAGAATATTCAATCAATAGGAGATATAGGAACGCGTTCAGAAAAAAAATTCTCAAGATAAAACAAGAGAAAAGTTGGTGGCGCAGTTGTTTCTTTGTTTCTCTGGGATATTCGAAGGTTTATGGAAGAACCAAATGCGACGGTCCAAAGATGAGTGAGGCCAAGCGTGACCGCCATTTCGAGCAATTTGACATGGGTTCATACTGTTCAATAAATGAATGCAATTGAAGAGATTTGCAGAATTTTGATGAACTTTTCTGGCGAAGTAATTGCTTGCAGAACCATTAAATTACTCCCTATTATGAACTTGAAACATCTTTTCCTTGGGGATCTGTCTTGTTTTGACCTAGATATCGTTGATTGAATCTTAGAAGAAATATCTGATCTTAAAACCAGACAAACCGCAGTTCTAACCTTTTTCCAGTTGGATTTGACAATTTCTGCCAGCAATTGTCTAGTAGTAAAGCTAAGCCCTTGATTACCAAGTGTTGAATGGCTTAAGAATAATGGTTCCAACTTCCAAGCGACTCCTTTTAAACCTGTTTCTTTATCACATCAGATATTTAGCGAATTTCTGTACTCGGAGTACGGAGGACCTGGAACATTGTTGGTGGAGCCTTTCACTGATATGATGGTGGCACTGAAGGAGAAGAAACTTCCCGGAGCGCCTTTAGCTGCACGAACATCCTTGTTATGGGCTCAAAATTTTCTTGACCGCGACTGGGAAATTTGGAACTCTACACCAGAGAAATGATAGTCTTTTTGTGGTGTACCAACTACCAATATTTCCATCCGTTGTTTCCTTTTCGATCAACCGAGAGAACTAAGTAGAGAAGTAATTTGCAGGTTCATTATGATATAGCATTTGTCATCGAACAGTGTCAGTTCTCATTGCTCTCCTATCTATTATACATGGATATGATTACTGAGCATCTACGGCTGAAAGAGTGAAACGGTGTACGGATATTGGAATTCACTTTAGTTCATTCCGCTTGAACTGTATTCCGTCGCTATGAACAGAAGACACCTCAGCTTGCAGCCTCGGAAATGCTCTGCAAAGAGGGCCGCCATGATTTAGACCTGCCAATGTTTGTTGATCCTGCCCGCTGCCATTGCTTTTCATGTCTTGTCACCTGAAACGGTTAATCGTCAATGAGATCAACAATACTGGGTAGGACAGGTTAATCATCATGAGATGCTCGTATTGACCCTTCTAGCTTAATCCTGGGTTGGACTTTTGCTCATCATGTGCTTTTGTTTGTCAGAAATTGATATCTTTAATTTACAGAAATCCATGAAAAGGCCAAATCAGAGAATCAGATATCCATGAAAGCTGCCCGGTCATTTTTTTAAAACACTACTATAATCTCCAGCTGTTCCAGTTTTATTATGACTAAGAAAGCGTATAAAAATTTGGGAAGATGTCCTAACTTCTGCATAAATGTATAATATATTAGAACGAAATTGCAGTTGCTAAGTTCGAGTTGCAGCTGATTGGCCGAAATAGTTTACCTGACGGTTGTTGTTGTCCAGTTCAGACTTCCCTGTTTCTGCCCCGCCGCTTGAACCCTGCATTTCTGGTTGTGCTTCCAACTTGACAATGGATTCTGCCTGGTTCTTCTTCATCTTTGCATGCTTCTTTGCTCTCAATACTTTCATAACCTCTGAAACACCAAGAAGCAACTCGAACTTCAATTCAGGAATCACACATTAATGACCTCTTCCCTCGAATAACAGCAACTTGGTTGGGGTATATATTTTTCCAAGAAACGAGAAAAAGTTGTGGAAACTGAAATCAACATTATGATGTAAAGATTACTACGTCAAATCACACGGGCTCAATCTTTATCGCCCTTATGACATACCATTCCCCCCCAAAAAAAAAAAATAATAATAAGGGGACAAGAAGAGTTGGTAGCAGAGTAAAACATGAACGATACCTTGAGTTGTGACCAGTCTGTAAGCTCTGCCAAGAACTAGAGTTTCGCTAGGCCTCAGAAGCTTTACCCGAGTGAACCGAACCGTTTTATCGTCTGAATTCTCCCCACCACCAGTCATAGGCAGCGGAATTATGAGAGAAACATAATGACCAGGATTCATCTTCATGACTTCACTAGCAGTCACAGGCCAATACATCCTGTCTATCCTTCCACTTGGATGTTGTATTACCAGTGCTGCAGCATCCACGGCCTGACAATTTCCCATCTATGTGTATGCACTTTTATCTATCCTTGTCTCTCTAGAAATTTAATCAAGAAACAAGAAGTCTATAGAGTAGAACAAGAAGAACACGAAAGATTGGTAGCTAGATAAGGGAGGAAGAAGGAAGGAAGGAAGGAGATGGAACCAAATAAGCAAAGAGTCTCTTTCTAAGCAGTACCCACCAAAGCAGGGCCACTCCAGCAGTCCACCTCCTTCGTACTCCCCACAGCACAGGACAATGGTAAAATAGGTCTCACTCAATTACCAAAGCCGTCCCTTCCCAGCCAACTCAGCCATCCATGCTAGTTGCTACTGGTACTCCTACAAATTGTTTTTCTTTTTCTTTATTTAAAAATTCAAAAATTTAAATAAAATTAAAAGACTGGGATTATTATAGACTGAAACTCAAATGCTATTATTCTGGAACCTATAATGGTAGTAATAATGGGTGTTATGATGGGCATATATGATTAGTTAAGGCAGTATATATATATATATATATATATATATATATATTTTTTTTTTTTTTGGAGTAAAATGCATGCTAATTTGATTATGTCCCTGAGTCATGGGGCCGGCAACGTTCCTCATATGCTGCTGAGGTTGCCACGTGGTTCGGCGTCAAAGGTCATGATCTTGGACATGCATGCTCGGCGGTGTCGACGGGGTCAAGATTTGGATTTCTGCCGATAAATTCATTTTTTTTTTTTCGAATTCTTTTACCCTTCAAATTCAAATTCGTCATAAAGAATCCTCAGGTCAACTCATTGTGCCTCTAGCCCTGTGCTTAACTGTACTACTACTAATCAAGGCGTGCGGCTGAGATTCCAGCAGAGTTTATCTTAGCTATCATACAGTAGTAATTGTTTGGCTGTGCTCATTATTGTAGCCTTGAACTATATGTTATACTATGACTTATTCTGTTTCAATTAATGTGATTGGCGAAGCTCAATAAATTCAGCAGAGTGTGATATTATGGGATTGGGTTTGTCTGAATTTAGTTTTCTTGAAGTCTTCTTTATACTTAAAACTTTGGGCCTTGCTTGGATTGCGATTTTTCGTCAGAAAATTACGTCGTTTTCCGTAATCACATTTCCCTATTACCTTTTTCCCTCACATACATCAAATCGCTACAGTAATTTTTTCATGAAAAATCATGAAAAATGCAATCCAAACACAACCTTGGATTTCTGGATACTTTAGTTGTTTTGATGCCTTGTCTATACGTAAAAATTTGGATTTATGATTTCTATTGACTTGCATTTTCCTTCTACTCTCTTTGTTCATTTTTTTTTATCCTTCTGAGTCCGTTAGTTGGAACTTGAAAAATGAAAGAGAAATTTTTTTTTTCTCTCATGAATATTACATAAACATTTAAATTAAAAGTTCTCACTTCTGATCTAAAGAAAGTTAACGTTCTTTGTTTCTGAATGCCAATCAATTACTTCCTGTCTCGTCTGGTAGATTTAATTTTCTTCTTCAATCAAAAAAAGATTAATAAATTTCCGAATTCCCAAACACGACTTTGGAAGAAGGCTGGAAAGATAGTAATTAATTATTTGGGTTCTCGGACACCCCCTTGTTTGACTTCTCCTTGGTCCTTAGTTCGTGGTTGTTGTTGTGTTAAGAAGAGAGCATTAGAATGACTTCTCCTTGGGAAAAAAAAAAAAAAAAAAAAAAAAGAGTCACTTTCACACAGTTGTCTGGGCAAATAAAAAAGAATGTTCTTGTTGCTATAACCTCCTAATAAATAAGGCAGTGGTAGGTGTGTAACATTGCATTAACTCTTTACCTTTGTCCCCTGCTGTTTTCCCATTTATTAACCTCTAATTAAAAATAACAAAAATTTCAATTCAAACAATACATGAAACAGGTTGAATTATCTCTCACATGGAAGTTCACTCTAAATTTTCAATGGCTTATTTTGTCGATGCTAAATCGCTCAATACCATTTTTCTTGGTTTAAACAGAAAATTTAAACATTAGAATCCTGGCTTCAAATATTGTAACCGACCATGATTCCAATGAGAGAGAATATGAGTGAGAGGTTCCAGATACGAGACCTCCTCTGCTTATGCTTTTTTTTTTTTTTTAATTTAAAAAAAAAAAGAGAAGAAAAAGCGGCCATGATCTAATCTTGATTTGCAGGCCAAGAATAACAGTGTAGTAGTATCTATGAAATTGTCAACAACAAAATTGTATCTTAATACGATAGCTTTCTGTTATTGTCGAAGCTCCATCGTCCGCATACTGTTGTCAGCAAAAAAGAACGGATTTTGCGTCATTGTTACCGTTCTAATATCATCTTTGCCATGTGGGTTGCATTACATATATTCAGTCTTTCATCCATGGGAGCTCCGGAGGGTGAATATTTAGTTACGTACAACTCCCATTTCATGATGAATACAACATAGCGGATGGATAATCATCACCCCCCGCAGCCGCTGCTGCATCAGAAAGTTATACTTTAAAATAAAATTTTGGCAAACTTCAAAGCTTCTTGATTGTTTAAAAATTTATACTTTATTCACTTGGCAACCCTTTAGGATAGAGAGATTAAAAACCTGGCTTTGAAAGAAATCTGATTCTTCAAAAGTAGTTACGAGAATCCACAAGACAGCAAAGAGATAAGAACTTGACCCTGAAGCAGCGCCAAGAAATTCATTTACTACACACTTCTTATCTTAGAATGATGAGTATCTTGTTGAACTTTGAGCACAGACAAAGAATATTTAGTAAATGGAGGCGGGGAAAAAAAGAGAACGCAATCTTAGTAAAGATCTTTGACTCTCCTGTAAATCTGGTTCAATTAATTAAATAAAACCACTTGTATGAATCTGAAAGCAAAGTTTGAAGATCTTCTCGAGTACTTATTATTAATCCAGCCTAGTTTAAAATCGAGATGAGTAAACATCTGTTGGTTTAATGTCAGATTATGTAAGCCACGTGAGATGTTGGGGATCTTCAGCTTGTAAACAATAAATGATGAATGGACAATTTTTTTTGTTCAAACATGACCACTACTACTGTAGTAGGGGACTACAACCAATGGCTCCTAACCTGTTATCTCGCCAGGGAATCCCTTCTATTATTAAATGGTACTCGATCAATTTAGGTGATCAACGAACCGTAGTAACCTTACAGATATATATATATGTACCGTGTACGGCTGTAATATTTTTTTCGATAAGAAACTAGTTAAAAAATGTGTTTATAATGCAAACAAATAAAATTTCCTACTAATAAAACAGATACTATATGCGACATGACTTGTTGCATATGACTGCCTATATTTTCTACTGATATGAACAGCATTTATTGAGTAAAATTGAAGTCATGGGAATTCAAACTCTCAACCATTTAAGATAACGGGGCGCTGTTGTCAGTGGGGTTAAGACCTTTTGTTTGTGGAGGATGTATATTCATGACTTTAAAGTTGCTTTCTCCACATTCGTCCCCTGTTATAGCAATCCAAAAAGTATTGATTTAGATTTATTTAACTTCAAGAATAATTAAGGATTGAAGGATTAAAATATTCTCGTGCTCAAGATAGTGATGGCAGGACGAAAGGAGATTAGAACAAAAAACATTGAAGCTCATGTTATCTGCCGTCGATATGCCTTGGATGAGGATTCAAAAAGGCAAACTACTATTTTGACACCAAAAAAAAAAAAGAAAGGCAAACTACTGGCATGTTTTTTCCTATGCAGTCCTGTCATGATAATGTGGACACCTATTTTTTTGAGTCAACAGTCAGGATTTTGTAGCTACATCAAAGAACACTGGAGCTAACGTGAAACACCTCTTTGTTGTTCGACAATATATTTTTCTCAACTAATCAACGCGAAATTGTGGACTACTTCTTCCTAGGTGGTGTCTCGTTCCCAATCAATCACAGCGTTATTTTTTTTTTTAGTTTGAATGATTTTGACTCTGCTCAGCATCATCATCACCGCGAGCCAAGAAATGTTTCGAGATCGTAGATGATCGATCGATTACGAGAAGAGTATTTATAGACTACTCATTAAAACAATCCTCAAATCAGCAATAATAAGAATCGAATATATGAACACAGTTTATTGCCTTCAAACCGGAATTCGACCTGACCAAGTGTTGACCAATTATTATAATTTATATAACGTAGAAGATGAGCAACTGTTAAAGGTGCTATAATTGGTTATTCAAAAAAGAATACAGTACTATTGCTAATCCCGTACAGTTACTTGAGCTTTTCTTGGAGCTATTTTGGAGTGGAGGCCAGAAGAGTGAGATTATCGGTCGGTCATGGGTGAAAGAGCAATAGATTTGAGGAAGCATCTCTTCCTTTTTCTTTCTTCTTTTTTTTTTTTTTTTCTCCAATCCCCTTCTCCCGTGAAGACTTTTACGCTCTAGTCTAGACCACTGTATGTGCATTTGATGTTAGGGGAAAGAAGCCACAAAAAATTTGTCACAATATGTGACGGTTTTCGGTGGCCATCTTTGATGGAGTTTCTACTCACATCACATCGAGTCCCTTCCCCCTCCCCCTCCTCCTAAATTAGGCTAGATTAGATTATAGAAATCCTATCGTCGTGACAAAAAAAAAGAAGAAGAAGAAGAAGAAAGGCTAGGAAAAGGTCTATGGTAATATCAGCACATGCTAATAAAATATTTGCATCCCTTATTTTTTTTTTAAGAGCTCCTTCCAAGACTTGATAATCTATCTCCCCAAGTGAATTTTTTTTTTTTTTTTTTTTACCTTCACTTTATTTAATTTGTACTACGTAATGTAATTAGTAAGCAGAGTCATCCGTAGATTTGGTTTCATACTGTTATAACAGTAACCGAATTGCTGGTATTATGTCCAAGGCTGTTCTTATAGAAATATTTGTTCAAGGCTTCGCTAATATAAAATGGCAAAGGGTTCACTTAAATATTACGAAAAAGGGGGAAAAAAAAAGGCACGCACACACACACACACATATAGAGAAGGACAAAGAGGTCCATGTGATTCGCTTTTCATGTGATGCATAGAAGAGAACAATTGCACGGTAGGGTGACCGTGTCGTCGGTAGACCATAGCATAGACCCGACTAAATATTCAATTTAATATGATAAATATATAACTCGAGCAAGAAGAAAGCGTCCACGACGCAGCACCCATAACCATGAGTGCTTTCACGGTTTAATCCACAACCTATAGAGATGTAAGAGTATATACTTACTCTGGAGAGTAAGGCTGCTGGTAGAGGTGGTTTTGGGACCATCTCGTTCTGTAAAACTGCACTTTCGTCGCCTCTAATGATGTTGGTTTTATGCTTGCGTTCGATGTTCCTAAAGAAATCTATTCATTAAATTCTCATCATTGCTAAGATTTTGGTCAAAAGTACCATGCGCCGGTCTAGACTAAATTCTTTCAATTATTGGCTCAAGGTTAGTTAAGTGAGGCCATTCAATGCCATTTGGTC